TTCATGTTTCGACTTCTGAACTCTACCAAAAATTCGTCAAACGTTTAGCACAATGATGCTTCTGATGCACCAGGATCGTTACTTTGAATTCGAAAAAATCACTAGCGCTCTTTTGTATCTAGTGCTTACTTAAACGGGTGCATCACACAACATGCAAAAAAGTGCAAACAACATCGAACACCGAGCTTGCTTTTATGCGGAGACATAGTCGTCTACCCTCTGCCAATGTATTTGTCACCCATATCTTATAAATCAGGTATAACATACCTATCAAACTCATGAAATCGCCGTCTCTGCTATTAGGATAAAACACGTGTTAGGGCGTTTTCAGGTCTTTATCATATGCAGCCATCACCCTTTGTGCATCGACGGGACCTTCCCAGGCAAGTGCTGTGCCATTTCCCCAACTCTAGTGGGATGGAAGGCTTGTCTGGCCCAGAGCAGGGTTGAACTAGAATCTTGGGCGCATTATTGAATGGTATTCCTAGTAGTGCGCTACTTGCGACGGTCATTTGTACTGGTAGTTCCCCCCGAGTATTTTGAAGTGTACTGAAATTATATCATAAACTGTAAAACGTTTGCAACTACGAATGCAGCTGATGGATTCTAGTTACAAATACGCCCGTCCGTCATACCTGTGGTTGTTCCGGAGAACGCTTGTATACTCTTTGAGTCCAATCTACAGCTCTTGCTGTCCACCTGTGTTTTTTTTCTCATTATACGAAGGGTCCATCTATGCTTTTCGATGTATAGTCTCCTGAATCCCGAACAAGGAATTCAATGATTTAAACTGCATATTCCGGAAAAATGGAATATGCACCAGTTGAAATTCAGAAGATATCGTTCAACCACAATGTGAGTAACACCGAATTTCCAACGTAGTTGAAGTACCAACTCACGCACAAGCTACATTACGAAGTGTTCGGAGAGCTGTTAAACAGAAAGGTGAGGTGTCGAGACGGCAGACAGCTGTACTAACACAATATACGGTACAGTTGGTACACCCGTACAAGTGTTAAATTACAATTTGTTTTCTTAAAACATATAGAACGGAAGAATGAAGTCACTGAACGAAACAAGTGAAAACTCAGGAAAACGAATGAAAAAAGTGGAAAAAAAAAATACAATGGAAGAACGTGAACAAGACTGATGTGAACTACATGTACTAAACCATTCGTAACAGCGCATTTTCTCCAATACCACTGATAGTTTTTCGGCAAGAGGAGCATATGAGGAGTTTGGAAGTGGCAAAATTGTGTTCTTCGTGCTCTCTGGTAAAGCAGGACCCACTGCGCAGCGATAATAAGCAACGTCGAAGAATGGAATTTACCGGTTCCAGATCGAGTTAATCCATAATTACCGAGAGTTCAAGTGAAAGGAAAGAGTTATAGATAATGGTAACCACCAGACTTCGTTCGGCATTACTATGAGTCCACGGTGAATCAAGATGTGAAAACATATCAAATGTTCTTCTAACTAATTTGTACCGATCCCTGTCTTCTTGATAACTGCTGATGATTTCTCAATAAACGAAGAACATAATTAACTCAAGAAATTTATGGAGATTCTAACCTCCTGCTCTGAGGGTAAAAAGTTCCTCTAGAATGGCATTTTAACAATTACAGTCCGATGTTAATTAATTTACATTCATGTAGTGCAGAAATAATGGCCATTTCCAATTTGAAACCAACATGATAGTGCATTTCATTGAACAAAACAAAACGCATAGAACCTACATACCCTTATTAAGATGACGAAACATCCTCTATTCTACAGTGACAAAATTCCATTTAACGAACAACCATGAAAATGGCTTTCTCAACTTTTCTTAATTTTCTTCTCAATGGCGGAATTTATTAACTAGAATTAAACGACCGGCCTGATCCCCAACCCTGAAGAGTCCGGCGTTTCCAACAGACAGCTCGGATAGGAGTAAAGAAATACCAGGATCCACCACCGTCCTGATATCAAACTAGTCGCATGATGGCAAATCTCCCTCTGATCCACAAGGGCTGCGACTGCCTGTGGTGTCGACGACCTAGGGCAGAATTTGGCCAGGCTGACCTCGGGACTCCAGTGAAACACAGTGGCTAAACCAGCAGAACTCCGAAGAACGGAGAATATGCTGGAGCCCACACAACGAATGAGGACGGACCATTCAAGTATCCAAGTAAATATGCCAATTTCCTTATTGCACCATAATGGAATTCTGAATACATGGATCATGATAATGGATGATTTCATAATGATGGAATAGAAAAATGTTGAACATTGTTGGCAATACTCTTCAAATTTATTTCAACAATTTTTATCCCAATTAATGAAGTTCACTATGAGATGAGACATATTGGTTTAAACTTGAACGTACTCATTTCTTCGTATCGAGAGACTCCATGACAGGTCACTTCATCTCGAATGTGTCCAATTCTATAATCTGATTGGCGTGGTAGTTATAGAACATTGGGAACAAGTTTCTACGGCGTCTTATTAGTATTGACACCATGAACCCTCCTATAACGTCCCAAACATTTCAATAACGAGAAAGCTATATCCGTATAACTTTTTAGACCAAGTGATTATTGGTTGTAGTCCAGATTTGACATACTCGCCTGTACGCAATTTGTAGGAATTTCATGTCAAAATATGACTTAGACGGGCATAACTTTATGTTAGCGCTTCTTTTCTGATTTTGAACTTTACAAAATTATCACAATGCAAAATGCATCACACCTCGTAATGCATGGCGATGGTACCTGTTCTAACAAAAATGAACAGTTACAGCAAATCTCAACCATTTCTTCGCGGTGTTCCCTCCTCGGATGTAGAAATAGCGTTAAACACATACCTACTAGTCATTGGTGATGTTAGTCCATAATAAACATGATACGGATAAAAACATAGAGGATAAAGCTATTGGCGTTGATCTTTACCTAAGGCATAGGTTTACCACGTTTTCGTCTTCATTGAGCATCGTTGGTATTGATTCGATGTCTAACCTTTACAATAACTCGCGGTGACCTAGCAATGTATCGATCAAGTGCTGCTATTTCCTTAGACCAGTCAGGCACCAATTTATCGCCCCGGAGGGATGGAAAGCTTGGTGAACCCTGGGCTCGGGTAGCGATCCCATGTGTATTGCTGGGCGACTCCGATCACTGTTCCACATACACCTCAATGGTAAAGGATAGGCGACTCTAAACAGTGCACGACGTCTCTGTGTAAACAATACTGAAGAACAAACAACGCTGAACATTAAGTTTCGTGCTCAGAACTTTGTTTTACCTTCCTGCAGCTACGTTCAAACTCATTGTTATGTCGAACAGTCGAAAAGTCTACAGAATGTTGGGCATTAAGAAACCATAGCATCACTCTACTGACTGATTGAACTCGAAACATACTTCATCTCCAAGAACTCAACTCCCCGAAAGACAGTGCTTACCAACTTTGCCGTCATTCCCTGATAAAGCTCATAATAAACATAAGCGTAAGTGACAACAGTAAGAGACAATGACAGAGCGGATGAATTTCCTCATGAAGAAATATCTCAGCGAGAGCAACCATCTTCATTGGTGTTCGAGTGAGTTCAAATATTTATTTAAACAAAGACATAACATCACCTCCAATTTAATTCTTATCACAACAGCAACGATGCGAATCACCGAGGAATCCAACTGATCAGTAAGAACTGGTCTATACACACTATAGAACTGAGTCAATTACATGATGTAGTCATCGAAATTCGACAAAGTGTGACAAAGTGAACAAAAGAGAAACAAAATCTTGCAAACTAACAATGGATAGGTTTTCAAACTTTTCAGAAAAAAAAAACCTCCAAAACTATAAGAGTTTGAACTCCTTCAACGTCAACAATTCCCCAGCATAACTAAGACATGAATTCTAGAAAACGACAATTCGCTTTATCTCTAATAGAAAGGGCTCGATTAAGAAAACCACACTGGACCTAGATCAAGAATAGAGATCGGGATACTTTAACATGAAACCAATTTTTAGACACATACTTTGAGCTGGTCTCCAGTAGACCTCTCCTAGATCCTTTTCGTGCTAAAAAAACAACTGGCACAATCGCACCACATATATTGACTTCAATAAATTATTTGCTTGGTTGTTTGCTTCGTTACAGCGTTTCTTTCGCTATTCTCTTTGCCTTCAATCTTCTCGATAAGAAATGGGTACAGATCTAACCCGAAAAGTCCTTATAGAGTTTACAACTGATAAAGTACTATTTTTCGGAAAAGCATGCTCGTCCCAGCAAAGACTCTGGTGCTGTGGAGAAGGGCACATGTAGGTTATCATTTCTTAGGTAGAGATGGGGGAGCACAATATGCACGTGGACTTCAGGAGGAATCGCGCGCGATTACGCGGCGTCGCGAATGGTTAAGCCAGTGACGTGGTAACGAAAGGAATGATTGTGCAGACAAATAGCAGAAAACAAGAAAAACCTGTAAACTTGATTGTTCTTCGGTATTTTTTCATCATTTCGTAAAACTACCAAAATAATATCCACAAAATTACAAGAGCCAAAGCTTCATATTACAAACGAAAACGAGGCTCGAATTATGTAACTCGTTGGTAGTGAGGAGTAATGGAGTTAACAACACGAGCGGCAAAAGCGAACCACGGCCTCTCTGAAAAAAAAAACGATAAAACAAGTTCAACAATATTCTTGCAACATTTCAATGATTTGTCGCCGTACGAAGCCCTACACTGGGAGGAGGAAATGCCCTCAGATAACGTGTCATGTCGAATCACCTATTCATTGAGCATTTTCATTCACGAGAACCCCAGTCAAGCGAACAGTCTCGCAATGCATATCTCGTGTGAACTTAATACAACGAGCAAACTTTCATTCTAAACAGAGGTGCTGAATTTTTCCTTCACAATTGACTTCCATCGCTAAAAATAGTACATTACTATAACATGCCGAGATCGATGGAGATTGGACCTCTTTAAATTGCTAGTTAAGTCACAAGTTGACAATATCAACCACACAGATATTTGCTACAAACTAACCTCGCATACGGTATATACGAAAACGAATACCACGCCATTGCTATGTACTGTCCACCTATGCAAACCAGTGCCAATGGAGCATTCTTAAGGATGAGCGCTAAAAGTAGCTGATGAAATGAAGCAAGGATGGAACGAATGCAAATAAATGGATCAAAAATACTGTTTTTGAGGGGTGGAGGAGGATTTCAACTAGTAGAAAATGTGCTAGTAAAACACACGACTTCGCGTTGAATAAATATCGTGTAAAGTAGAATACTAGATCAAAATGGCCCAAAACATACAACAATAATTTCTAATTTTGCCATCGCCTTTTTCTGGATAATACGTTCCAATAAGGGAACGTGACTTTTTGACCAGCTACGTGATTTTCGATAATTTTCCCAGTTTTTAAATAGTACATATACTTTGATTACAAATAATATTATAACAGGATTTGGCAGAAAACGTTGGAAACATTTACTTGCTAATGTATATGATACACCATCACATAATGTGCAGATCTTAGCACTTCTTTCATTCGGATCGTCATCTTGGATCGTTCGCGTTTCCGTATTAGTTGCGCTGTTTTCAATTATAAATTAAAACCGCTGTATAACGAACGATTCCAAAAATAGCGGTCTTTCACCTCCAACTCAATAGAAGCACACATTAGATAGTTGGCCCAGCAACTTCACTAGTTATATAGCCCCTATATTTTTAACCATTTCCTTCCCTCGCGAGCGTCTCTTTCGAGCATCGCAGCATCTACAAGTATTATCCTATGATCCAAAATCATATACAGTTATGAATACATCTGACTGACGTTAGTTGAAAGCATGTCTGCCCGCCTTGTCGATGCTCGTCTTAAAACGCATTTGTATACCTTTAGTATCTAATTTATAATAAAAACACTAAAAAGCAAGTATGGAGCGAAATCAATGACAACCGATTGTATTCTTAGCATAACAATTTACGTGACCATGCAGGTTTTCCTACGTGGTACCCGTGCGCCTACACTGTTCTTTATTGTACGAAAAACTTAACTAAAAGCAATAAAAATACACCAGGAAGTTTGAGTAAAAATTGCTCCCGAGCAGAAGTAGCATCAAAAACGGAACTAATGACAAAACGTGGTCCTATTATGTAGACGCATACCCTCATAGTCGTATGTAGTTTTGGTATTGACTCACCACATCTATGTGGCATTCCTGAGAACAGAATTATTTGTAAGAAATGACTCATACTTGCCAAGCAGATTATCATATTAGAAAATAATTATGTATTGATAAGACACCTCCTGGCTTTCGTATCAGATCACCTTCCTAAACTATATCACGAGCAATCACCACAGTCACTGTTAAATTCCAAACTTTATTAATGAGGATAGAAGTATCCAAGGACAGAATTGCGCACGAATGGACAGTACTGATAACATTATTGTTAATAAAGCTTGTAGAAAGACTAATGAATTATGAAGGTACCCTTATACTAACATCTAGCTTTTTGTAGGTCATCACAGGTGAAAACTTTTGAAAAGAAAACCTAAAACCCACATAGCTAAAACTTCACGAAAAAACAGAGTTGAGCTTCAAAGAAAGTTTTGTTCAGAAACTCAAGAAAGATCGACTATCATGTGAAATCGGACTATCATGATCACGAAATAAAAGGGCATTAGGTGCCTGGAAAACGGCAAGAGCACATGTTTTAATAGTGATGTAACAGTAGCGTATACCGGATATTTGTTACCATACAATAAGATATTAAATTTAACATCAGGGTATTTTGCTTCATTGTACCAGTTATCAACCGCAATGATTACGGAATTGATGAACTGGGAATGAATTAATGAACCCAACGGTTTACAGCCTCATCGTGGCTGGGAGGTGTTCCTGGGTATCGAGCTGCGATGTACAGCGGGGATTCATCACACCGGCAGTCTCCCAAGCCGAGAAGGAGTCCGGTGTTTCCATCAGGAAACTTAACTAAGAGTAAACCAATACCAGGATCGACCACTGCGCTAGTAACAAACTAGTCGCATGGTGGCAAATCTACCTCTGAACCACAAGGGAAACGACTGCCTGTGGTGGTGAAGACCTAGGGCAGACTTTGACCAGGCTGACCTCGAGACTCCAGCGAACCACAGTGGCTAAAGCAGCAAATCTCCAGAGAATGGAAATTATGCTGAGGCTAGCACAACCAATGAATATGGGCCATCCAATTATCCATGCAAGTATTTTCAAACTAACCATAATAATTACGCAATTGATTGTTCTAGCAATGACTTACTCCTAATTCTTCAACATAGTGTAATTGTAGCGAAGTTGTATTGTATGTAGGACTAATCACTTTAGAAAGTTACAGTGTACATAGTACGGTGCTATAGCAACAAAATGTTTCTGAGGAAACATCGTATTTAGCTAGGTTGCTAGCAAAATAATTGCAAAATTACATTGTCCCACTAAAAATACCGTAAATTAAGCAGAAAGGGGCGTAGAAATAATAATACTGACACAAAATATTGAGCCGAATCAGCACTTCATCATATTCGTAATGAAATGAGTCACCAGTTACTCATATGTGATGAAAAAAAGTTTTTGTTTTTCAGCTATGAACAAATAAATCCTATTTATCAGTTAATGTTTTGTCAAACTTTTTCAAATAAAATGAAAACCCTTAGAAACTAAAGATTACAGTTCTCTTATTCTGCAAAATGAAATCCCGACTATCCTGCGACTACAATGACAATTTCTTACGAAAAAATATAATTACCTTCCTAATGCTCCGCCTACCAAGCACCAACTGGAAAACAAATTCGCCCAAAAACGGGAAAAAGCATATAATAGAAATGAAATGACTTTAAAAATAGTGATGTTTTCCACTTATGCGTCAAGTCATATAAACCATTTTCCAAAATCTCGAGGAAAATTTTCCGGGTGACTATCCCTTTGCGGCAATGGTTTTACCACTCATAATGATGAGATTTTATTGTAGAACACGAAATGCCAAAGGCAGCACAGGTTTCCACAGCACAAGTGGTGGGGAAGATGTCCATTTTTTTCAGAAACCAAACAAGGTGGAACGACTGAAGCAAAGAGAGCAAACGAGCAAACCAATCTTTGAGACTAATATTGAAAATAGGCGTGATAATGTGCTGGGATCCACACAAACAAACTGTAAAGGCCCGTCGTAAGTCTAAGCAATGAAGTATTCCACAAACCTGCAATAATCGCCAAAGCTATAAACCCCACGTAGAGCAAAGACGCCAACCATCGAGTTTTATCAAACATTTTTCTGCACTGTTCAACAGGTCCCATAAGGAAACATGTGCTAGCTATTGAGAGAATTGCACCAATTGAGGACATTATGCAGAAACCGTTGACCTTCGTTAACAGCAGCAGATATCCAGCCTGGAAATACGATTATTACAGAACTAAAGAGTGTTTCATCTCTAATAAAACAACAGGCCAGTTTAAGGCGACGAGGAGAATCGGCATACTTGCATCGCTAAATCATTACGCGAAAAACGAAAATATGTAGCATTATCCAAATATAAGGTGAGGAGACATGAAATGTTGGAGCTCTTACGTTCTAATGGCAGTGAGACTCAACCAGATCTGGCACTTCTCGTTGAAAAAAAAACAGAACGAAGGACAAAGCTGGAGGGCTTATAATGTCATTTTGTAAGGAAGACTCAACTAGATAACAAAGGTTGAATCTAAATGCCTAAAGCTTCCTTCTGTACTACACCGTAAAAGCTCTAGCACCGTTTCCCAAAAACACATCGCAGTTCACAAATCCGGTCCATTTTAGTATTACTTATCATTCCACCTCAGTTCTACAAGGTTTGACCTGAACTTCAAAAGAAAAACATGAAGCAAACCTTGGTGCTAGTACACTGTGCTTCCATCTAAGAGCTAATGGGAATAAGGTGTACAATAAACTTCAAGAGTGGGAAATAAGAACGCAGAAACACAAGATATCGTATAACATGTTTTCCATAGTTGCCTTTTGTGAGAATACGACTTACCCAAATGCTCACACTCATGAAAATAACTAATAGCAGACTTAACTTTGAAAGTAATACTTCAACGAAGTTTTGCTATTAATATTTACAATGTATAGGTACTGTAAAGTGGAAATTACATTTCATTAGCGCTAAACTCACACAAATGGAGCTGATTACTGACAGCAACAAACAGCCGACAAAGCACTGCAACCGAGTTTCCCATGTCAGAGAAGAGGATGATGGTACGGACGTCTGTAACGAAGAATCATACTTTGAAAACAATCATAAATCATAAATAATAGAGTGTTCATATGTAATTAGGCCTCACTCAGTCACTGTTGAAAGGTACGAAATTTGCCCACTTATTTTAATTCTCACATCCATATAACCCCTTCTTCCATTCTGCGTGAATCCTCGCATTTCTTTCGTCCGGATCGTTGTCTTGAATGTGCCATGCAGATGATCTTCAGATTTTACTGCGGCTTCAGATGCTACATAAAGTTTCTGTTTCCTTCATGAATGTAACATTTAACCTCCTTAAAATTATGCGATTGCTCCTCTAGTTTCTATGTTCCCAGCAAAGCAATGACCTTTGAGGACAAAAGTGAGCTCTTTCTCAAAGAAAAAAAAGCTATATGCCGAGCTTAGAGATCTGGTAGTTTGGTTGGCTCAGATGGGGACAAACTAGTGACTATGTGTATACTGCATGGAAACTAAGCATTGCACTTCTAGCTCCACTGAGTAGGCAGCAAGGGCACATCTCTTGTGAAAATCTATAGTTTAACTAAAACGCAATTCCATTCTACTACATAACCACTCCATTTATCCAACTATGACGTATGTTGACTACGTGGGTGAATTCTGGACTTTTTGTGAGGACCACGACGAGGGCAATGCGAAGAAATGGGTGAAACAATTTTTGGAGTGTTCCGTCGAAGACCTTGTTCTACAGTGATTGCTGAGCGACAGGAAGAAATACGAATCGAAGGGAACAAAAATGGGAAAACAAACCGAATGGGACAGAAATCCCTTACCAAACCTAGAAATTATGAGTCGTGTTGGGTGAGTCCGTAGTGTTTAGGAGCGTTCTCACGAAGGACAGCGCTGATGCAGTTGTGATACTCTTTTCTAATAACATCTAAGAACTTTTGAAGTTCAGATGCAAAGCACCTAACTACTCGCAGAGTATGCGATATTCCTTCAGAAGGACTTCTACTTGGGAATGAAGCACTGGGGCACGAACGGTGAGTCGTCTTGTTTCGCCGAATGAATGAAATGATGAAAAAGCGTCGAGGCAATATTCTGGAGACCGACGTTGTTCCTGTAGCTCTGGATGGCCATGTGAGTGAGCGAATTAATTAACTTCACAATTACCCAAGTGTGATGTTAAGGATGAATCGTGCTCTGTTTTCACTTATCATGATCCTTCGCCGTATTTTAGCACAGCAAACCAAAGCGTCAAGGGTCTTGAGGTAATCATTATGTTGTGAATCCTGGTCCATCGGTTACATTGGATTACATGCCTCTGCCGTTTCAACCATACAAGAAAGCCCACGGTAAGCTGCAGGCGAAACTCAATTAACTTAAGAGTTTAGTAACAACACTTACTGTAATATCTTGGGAGCTAGTATAGTGGCCATTGATAGCTCCAGGACGCGAACCGTCAACGCTTGTATTATGTACAGCTTCGAACATCTGGATACTATCTATCAAAACCCAACGTTTACTTCTGTCTACTTAATAAAGGCAAAAGAATGGTGGCCAATGTGAACCACAAATGAAAGGAATGGACGAAAAAAAAAGAAAACAGAGAAACAAAACATACATAGGAAGGAACACCAAAAGCTCACTCGAGCGAGTTCGAGGGCACGAAATGTGAGTCAGTGGCCCAGAATTGGCGCACTTCGTGGGTGCAGTAGTCATTCCTATCTCTTCTGGGGTTTACGTTGGTCTACTGAGAGTTCGGCAGTCGAGGAGTTCGTCTCCGGTGACACCGTCCGTTCCGTCGATGCTCAGCCTAGTCGCTCTGTCCTCAGAGCGGAATACAGGCAGGTGGTTTGGTTGTGGACGATCACTACTAGCCGCTGAAAACAGCCATTACTAAGTTATTCACGGAATCGCCGATACGCCGATGTCGGCGATTCCGGATAAGAATTCTCTTCCAACGAACACTTACATTTGTAGCTTGTTGTATGCCGTCGGTGAAGAGCTATTTATGGAGGACATTTGTAGATCACATAGGCATGCTATATGTATAAGTATATGCACATATATTTGTATGTTTAGTCGTCATACATACATGTCTAAGTATTTATAAATGTATATATATGTTTACACACGCATATATATGTGCGTATATGCGTGTTTGTTTTATATATAAGATGCGTATATACGTATGAAACATGTACCTGCTTTGTCATGTACATACACATGCTCACATATATGTATACACGCATATGTAATGTTTATATTCACGTATATACCTATACGTGATATATAAACGTGGCATATACATATACATATGTGCAATATATGTGTGTACATGTATATGTTTACATGGGCACGTATAGCGCAGTGGTCGGAGGCGCCGGGCAACACACATGAGATTGATCCCTGTGCTCCAGGCTAACCAAGGCTTTTATGCCTCCGGGCTCGGCAAATTGGCGCCAGGCTTGTTGGGAGGATAGCAGCGCTGGCTGGATACACCGGTAGGTTACCGTAAGTCATAAAGGCCAGATGTGCATTCAGTCACGTCCAGTGATGTCTGGTGAAGTCGAATGCATGGCGAATCCCTCAGGGATTGATCAACGCTGAGAGCTTAGTCCTTTTTTTTATATGTATGCGTCTACATATACAGCTCGAAAACCCATTGGTTCACAGGGTATAGAAACTGTACTGCAGAATCGTGCACGTTTTTTTGTTACTGTTCTTCGGGTTCTTAAGTGTAACTTATTCATTGGTCGTATATTTTCTCTGTTTCAAATATGTTGCTTAAAAATCTTCATCTGTAGAGCCATGCCACCTAAACAACAGCCATCCAAAAAAGCGGAGCAGAAACGCAAGGAAAAAATAATCGAGGACAAGACGTTTGGTTTAAAAAACAAGAAAGGAGCGCAGAATCAGAAATACGTCCAACAGATCCAGAACCAAGTAACTTTAGAGGGTTGGCGTTCGTACATTTAAAGTTTTGATCGCATTGTACTCGTTTAAGATCCGCAGCAACAATGCTCGTGTGGACCAAGCGAAAGCTGCGGAGGCGAAAAGAAAGAAGGAACTGGATGATCTGCGAGATTTGAATAAGTTGCTGAAACCTGTCGAGCAGAAAGTGCAAAGAGGTCGGTTTTCGTCGCAACATCTGTCCCTTTAGAGCAGTAAATTGAGAATGTAAGGCTTTGTGGGACCAAGTAGTATTCCTTTGAATTTCTGTGTCCAACTACCATGTGTGCGTCTTTGGTCACAAAATGTTTTGGATGTGTTGCAGATGTCGATCCTAAATCTGTGCTGTGTGCGTTTTTCAAACAAGACATGTGTCACAAAGGGGCGAAATGCAAGTTCAGCCATGATTTAGCCGTGGAGCAGAAGACACAGAAGAAGAATCTGTACGTGGACAGTAGAGACCTGAAGGAGGAGGACGGTGCGGTTTCGTCCGTGCATGTTATAAGTTGTCTTTTCTGGATATATGGGATATGTGGTCATTTCTTTGGACGTGCTAAGCTTTCTACTTGTTTGCATCATGTGTGTAATATTTCTAGATAATATGGAAAATTGGGACAACGAAAAATTGAACGATGTGGTCAACAAGAAGCACGGTGAGGCGAACAAGAAGATGAATCAGACAGCAATCGTTAGTTCATTCTTTCCTTCTTTCAGTAATCGAAGTGAGTTGTTGAATTCTTCATTTGTTCTCGTCAGGTTGTCGATTTTTCTCCAAGCATTGTAGAGTCTTCTCGTAAGCTGCTTTTAGGTTTGCAAATATTTCATTCAAGCTGTTGAGCAAAGCAAGTACGGCTGGTTCTGGGAATGTCCCAACGGTGGTGAAAAGTGCCAGTATAGGCACTGTTTGCCCGAAGGGTATTCTATTAGTTCTTTTTTCGTTCGTTTTGTTATATTTCATCCGTCCTTCATATTGTGGTAATTGCAGATACGTTTTGAAAAAGGATAAGAAGAAGATGGAAGAGCAAGATAAGGAAAATCAAATTACTCTCGAGGAGCTTATTGAGAAAGAGGTTTCTTGTTTTAGTTAACTTAATGCAACGGTGTCATCTTACTCTCAATTCGTATTATTATTCTAATTAGTGGTTCTTTACGTCGATACTTGAGTCGTTCACTTTCATGACTAACTGAGTGGGTTTTAGCGAAGTTTCTATTTGAATGGAACGTTGATGTTTGGGCAGAAGTTCTTCCTAGTGTTGTTAGATGACTGCGCCAGAACATTTCCGACACCACGATCAAATCAATTTCACTTAAATTGTTAAAATTTCTCAAACGAGCTAGACAAAAGCAGAAGCCAATGATACATTAGGGTTGGGGACGCATTTGTGCTTTCTTGGAATACTGCTTGTTCAATTTCTTTTCTTCAAAAAGCGAACCTCAGCAGATGAAAAGTGAGACGATAAGTTTTGTGGATCATTGCAGAGTAGGAGAACTTGTGATTGAAACCTGTATATTTTAGCGGTTTGTACTGCAATTAAGAAAAGGAGTTCAATATGAGTCGAAAAGATGACGATTATTTTCGAACCAAATGCATCATAGGGGCGGTTAGCACAGTGGTGGTGATGTCGGTCATTACGAGTATGGTGCTAGTTCGATTCTGCACAAGGTTCACCAAGCTTCTTATTCCTTCGGGGACGAGAAATTGGTGCCGGACTTATCGGGGAGAAAATCCCTTTCTGCAATCCAATTGGGAACGTTCTAGCTCGGTTATCTCAGAACTCTAGGGGAATTCTACTTGCCCAGCATTGTACGGTATTCAAAATGAAATGAAGATCCTTAAGAAGCAGCTGAAGCATATGTAAAAGGTGGAAAATCTTTGTGGATAATGAAACAGGTGATTGGAAGACGGGTCGTGTAAAAATAAAAAAAACGCACTGTATTCAATGCCTGTAGAGTGTTGTGGATGTGTTAACATATTTTATTGACAGGTATTAATGTTTTTTTCCCTTAAAACCTATATTCGTTGTCATTGCTGTTGTTTCATTTCTGAATCTTTGTCTCATGTGGTTCCACCGAATGGTTTTTATCTGTTTAATTGGACGGTGAAGCAACAGCAATCGTTCTGATTAGTGTTATTGTTACTATTAACTCTCACTATTATTTATCTAGTGTTCAATCATCATACTAATGTCTTAATTTCTAGAGAGCTGCGCTGTCTTCAAGAAACCTGACGAAGATAACCTTGCAATCCTTTATAGCCTGGAAGAAACGCAAGCTGTCTGAGAAGAAACAAAAGGAAGCCGAAGAAGAAAAAACAAAGAAAGACAAGATCAAGGCGGGGAAGGCTGTAAGTTCTCTTCTAATTTCTGCTTATTATTGTGTCAAACGTTTTTCCTGGTTGCGAATTTTCTAGTCGTATTGTATTTTCTAGCTGGGCATGAGCGGTCGTGACTTGTTCACTTTTAATGCAGATGGTTGTGAAGATGATGAGGAAGCCGAAGACATTGACTACACCAAGGAGGCGACTGATGTAAGGGAATATTCATTTTGTTTTTTACCGCAATGAAATGGGCACGATCACTTTTTAATAAAGTAATAATTTATAAAGATGCCATCTTCATTTATCTCTCTTCAGCCAAACGAGAAGGTGGTTGAGATCGATTTGAATTTTTTCAAATTCGAAGGCATGGATGACAATTTTTACAATGACGAGATACCTGCAGCACATGGCGTTGATTCTGGAGCCTATTGCTTGACTACAGGTTAGGCCACTTCAATTTTCTGTAACGCTTCTTATTAGTGTTGATAAGTGCACTATTTTTGCAACTTGTCGTCTTTTTAGGTGTTGGTTCCATAGCGATCAATGAGGAGTTGTTTGACGTAGATGAGGAACTAGAAGAATTAAATTCTGATGAAGACGAGCTGGCAGCCTCTACGACAGTTAACTGATCGCAAGTGTTTCGACTTTCTTACATCTTCAGTTACTCCAAGCCTGTCCCTGTACAAACGTTCTAGTTTCGGCCTTTGTTTTGTTATGAACAAGGACTACTAATAAATATTTTGTCTTCCTGTGATTTATCACAGGGGTAGCTCATATCAATCAATATGTAGTTAAATATATTGGCTAGTCGTTATTTGAGAATTTGAAGTTTGATTGTTAAGGGCTTTTTACCCTTGGTCAGGTACCATCAAAAGATTATGTTTCTTATTGTAATGTAGTGAACTTTTATGGGGACTTTGCAGTGATTTGCACTTATTGATGTATATGTCTTTAAATTAGTTACTGGTATCCAATATTCTTGCTGCTATAAATATTGTTAGCTGTCCTTGTTGATTTATTGGCTTTGTATTAGATCAATGTTTATTTTTCTATTATTATGCTTATTCTTGTTGTTCATGGAAGGAAGTACAGGGGAGAAGCTAAACTGTCTACTTGGCTTGTTGGTTTTTGAGTTTTTGAACTTCTCGAGGAGAAAAAGCTGCTTCTCTTCTATTTTCAGCATGGTTTCAAGCAACCTAACCGAACTTCTACGTGGGCCATTTCGGTTGGTACAACGTACGAAGCGTGGTGCTGCACACTTCACGTATTTTCCGTCAACGATCAAGCCAGAGATCGCTGGTGGTAAGTTTATTCTCTTACATATTTTCTCTTTGAGTTTTGTTGTTTTATTTAGGCAGAGTAATATGTTAATGCTGCGACAATAAAATTTGATTGGTCTATTGCTATTGATCTATTACAGAAGTTGAAAATTACTTTCTGATCAACATTATGGTTATATTGGTTTTCTTATTAAAGGCCATGAAATTGTTTGGAAATCATTGTAAAATTCTCGTATATATTTTCTGCACATGATGTGTTAATTAAATATGCTTCATCAAATCTCTTTGAGTTGGTGGTCCGGCCGAGAAGATGAATTTGTGCCAAGCCGTAAATAGTGCACTGCATGTTGCTATGAGAACAGATAACACGGCGATAGTCTTTGGTGAAGATGTTGCGTTCGGAGGCGTATTCAGATGTTCGGTTGGATTGAAGGACAAATTTGGTTAGTTGGAGTGGACCACGTTAGTAGTGTACAAATGTTTTTTTCTTGAGGACGGCCATTTAATCTCATTGTGAATAAACAATATTTTGTTGTAATGATAAAGAAGATTGTAAGGTAAAGAAAACTAGCTGAGAGACTGGCGAAACGAAGGACCCGAATTACGTGGCGATGACCACGTTAGCCCCGGAAAGGGTGATCGCGCGTTCGTTCCCCACCACAAATGCCTGCGGTCCAGAGTTTTGCAAATATCTCAGCATCATTAAAGAAAATCGTTATAAAAAGAGTTTTTCATTGTGGCTAACGTTTCGTCGTCTTGCCCATCTTCATTACGGTTTTCCACTCCACTCAGTTTTGATTCTATGCGACTGCGAAGACACGCACCTTTCGAGGAATAAGCGTGGATTACCTTTTCGTCAATACAAAGCTTTGATAAGAACTTCGTGTTAACTTACGAATATAATAAAGTAGAATACGAATGGTTTTATGCGGTTCCTATTTAGGCCATAATCGAGTGTTTAATACTCCTTTGTCCGAACAGGGTATAGTTGGATTCGGTATTGGAGTTGCTGTTGCTGGGGCCACCGCCATTGCTGAAATTCAATTCGGTGACTACATATTCCCGGCCTATGATCAGGTTCTCTTAACTTACTTATAACAAACATTGGCACTACCTATTTTAGTGGAGTACTGATATATTTTACTGCTTTGTTTTGATTTTAGATAGTAAATGAAGCAGCCAAATACCGGTATCGCAGTGGTGGAATGTTCAACTGTGGTGCACTAACGGTCAGGGCGACGTATGGAGCAGTTGGACATGGTGGTTTGTATCATTCGCAAAGTCCTGAAGCAAACTTCACACACACTCCGGGCATCAAGGCGAGATCTGTTTGTTTTTTCAGTCCCCCAAGGCTTTGCTTTCGTGTTTTCATGTTATGCTTTCACCATCGCTCCTTGCTGGTGTTAGAATATGTGGTTTTAATGACCCTTTTTTTTCCTAAATCGTATGTTCAAAACACGAATTTTTAATTAACCTCGCCATTAATGAGTGGGTCCTATTAAAATTGTGGTGTTCAGCGAATAAGGCCGTATGACAATATGTCCCACGCAAAAAAGGCGAGTGAACAAACCCATTGTGGCAGGAAGAAATTGAAAGACCAAAGTCTTTCTTTCTGCCTGAGTTGTAGTGATACAAAAGTGATCAGAGTATTAGCTATTTCTCTTGTGTTGTAAAAATGAACGTTTAGGTTGTAGTGCCACGTGGTCCTATGCAAGCGAAAGGACTTTTGTTAGCTTGTATTCGTGATCCGAATCCGTGTATTTTCTTTGAACCTAAGGTAGGATGTTTTATTATTCCTTTTTAACTATCTAACTTAATAATTTGTAGGTTTTATATCGATTAGCTGCTGAAGATGTGCCAACTGGCGATTACACTTTGCACTTAAGCGAAGCAGAGATTGTTTTAGAGGGTAAGTGCTGTATGTGTCATATAAATCAAATTACGTTTCATATTCCCCCATACAGTGTCCTATTTTAAAGGATCTGATGTAACTATAGTATCTTGGGGTACACAAGTCCATGTTGCAATTGAGGCCGCACAGATAGCGAAAGATAAGCTAGGAGTATCGGTTGAAGTTATTGATCTTGCCACCATTAATCCTTGGGACGAAGAAACCATTATCAAGGTATGTTTCTGAGAAAGTGTGTTTAGGAGACAGAAAATGTTTTATGTTTAGAGTGTGAAAAAAACAGGTCGTCTGATAGTGACTCATGAGGCACCAATTACGTCAGGCTTTGGAGCCGAAATTGCTGCGAGCATACAGGTAAGCTGTGTCATTGACATTTGAATATGCAAAAATGTATTACTACGTGAACCGTGCTCTGATTGTATTTAACAGCAAATATCTTTTTATTAGGAGGTTTAGTTCACATCTTGACCAACTTTCAAATAGTAATTTGATAAGAGAAGGACATTGAGTACTAATCTTTCATCTGTTGGAAATCTCTTGATATAACTTTTGGAACAAAGTTCCCTATAAGATAATGCACCAACTGCCACAGTCTTTGCTGGTCGCGATGTTCTTATATGTCGCATTTATTCTCTAAATGTTTCATACTTCTGGGAAGATATGTAGCAGTAAGTCTAATAGACAGAAACCTTTTTATCCAACTGCAAGCGCATTTCAGGATTCCTTTAGAGTTAAAAATGTTCTATTACATTGTCGGTATTTTGGAAATCACGTCCATCGTTAATACAACGTAGAAATGTATGGGATGGTGTGCGTTGCTTTGCAGCTCTGGTCCTGGTTCCCTTACTCCATGCATCAAACTTAGGTGGTTAAATTTTTGCCGAACAATAATACAACAACAGCGATATAATGTGATCGAGTATCCAAAAAGAGTATAATTTGTAATGTGATCAATACACCGAGATTTTATAAAGAGCAAGAATTAGCAGTGAGAATAAACATGAAAATTTTTCGGTGTGTATGGTAGTTTAGGGAGCAAGGATTCCATCATTGCCTTATCTTTTACCTAAGAATTACCTAAGAAGGGATAGGTAAGGTTAAAGTAAAGCAGTATCTATGGGAATGAGCTGATAATTTGACAAAACTCTTTATATTACCTTTCGTCGAATGCACGGGTATCGAGACAGATGTAAGATCAATATGGTGCGCGGTCATACGATATCTATGGTTGGTATGGGTCACTAAATGATGAGCAAATTATACTCTATTGTCTTATCCTAGATAAGAGACGATCTTGGCAAGCAGAAAGATACTTGAGGATGTTTATTGGTCCATTTATTGACAGGAATGATCCTACCAAAAGGACAACGTATGAAGGTTGAGACGCATATTTACGAAATAAGACGCGTTGTTTGTGAAGTACGTAGCAGTACGATGAAATCCAGCGCGCATATTGAGAAATAGTCCGTGGTCTAAAAAGTTAATTCCTAAATTACGAAACTGAATGTATTTGTAATGAAGTGAGACGAGTAGTTTATGAATTGAGATGAAGTAGTGTAATATTCTGCTATCAACTTTGCTGAAGGAAGGCGAGTATCCTACCACCTGAAACTGTGTTAATAAATTGTATTATTAAAAAAGAATGTTTCACACCGAGCTGTTTGATTCTATAACCTTGCACCACATCTCAAAATCCTCACCGGCAAGAAGCAGCTTTGCCTTCGAATTTTAAATTGATTCAAAATTGTCAAAATCAAGACTATGGAGGAGAGTATGCATACCTCGAGGATCAGGTAACGTATGGCCGATTTCCTGTATACTAAAATCAGGAAATAGATGCCGCTCTCGGCGCCCACACGTGTACAGTGTGACCAAAATATCTTAAAAACATAATTCTACATGAGTAAGCTGACACGAAGCTCGTATAAAACTTTTACTTCGCTAACGTTTCGGTGCCTTTGCCTTCCTCACTGCATCGTTGATTACAGATGGTATACAGCTGGTCGCTGTCGCGATATATGTTTATCGACGCATCGAGTCGAGTCCACTGGAGGGAGCACCACTCGAGTGCAGAACATGAGTCAGTGGTGTCCTTTTATACAGGACGGGTTTTGGTGAATTTCCTCTTCGATCCCCACTTTCATTCATTAGGGTTGGAATTGGAACATTGTAACCGCAGAAGTCCTTATGGCACTTCTTCTAACTAGATCGTTTTTGAGCTGAACTTTTCTGCTTCTACTGATACAAATGCTCTTGCAAAGATCTACTAATAGTATCACATATTATCAGCTGTGTTAGGTGTGTTGCAATTGGATCAGTCTTCAATTTCCTTTTCTTGAACAACTTCTAATTGGTTATGGAAGTGCGATATGAATTTCTTGTTTGAGGAGCAGCAAAATTTGGCATAAGTTTTAAGTTAGTGTCTATCTTCATTTGCCAGCTATATGAGGGAATTTTATTGGAAATATCACAGCTATACACAACTTGCATCGTTTTTGTCGGGTGATGACAGGAGCTCCTTTCCAAGTTATGGCTGAATCGAATCTTCGCGCCAAGAAATCAATGGTCAAACCCCGTACAGAATGTTGGGACTAGTTTTGTGTCAAGTAGGCACCACATTGTTTTAGTACCAAGTGGATCGATCTCCACATGAATTGTGCCGTTAGAAGGTTCCCATTTTCATCGGCGACTTTTTTTTTTTTCGAAAAGTGAATTCCTATGGAAGAGTCTGTGGACAGTCTGTGGACAAGAGTCCTACAAGACGATTTCCATTCTCATTTCGTCCTCTTATTCCAGTTCTCCCTATTCTGTATTCTTTTTCGTTGGCCGTTTTTAATCGTGTTACGAAGTGTGCAACAACAAATTTATGAAAAGACCTCTCGCTGCGGGTTACTTCCTCTAGTTGGTTGCAGAAGACGTCCAATTCGCTCTCACCAGCTATACAAGTTGGTTACTAGCAGTTCATAGTATTTTCTTTCTACGCGGAGGTTGAATGGTCGAGTTCAGTGGTATGATTTCATCTGGGGTGATTAGATGGGAAATAGATGAGTGTACGACAAAGCCTCCACGAATGACAGTGGTTCCGCCACCCAAGCGGCGATATCAGTCTTTTTGCTTTTGATTTATTGTAGAGCGATCAATTTGATGCGACCTACCACTTCAAGAAATGCATTAAGATTGACATCTGAAAAGATTGCTTTGGCGTTATGGGTGTGTAACAAGAAGCAGTGTCTATGGCGTGTGGTGGACGTGCCCTTGTCCATTTTCAATGACGTTTCTTGCAACACGAGATTTGATCGCCTTTCAGCGGTTGTCTCACCGCCTGATGTCGTAGACGGAAGCGCTCAGTGTGCGGGGTACTGAGGTTGGAGCTTTGCCGATTTAGCCGCATGGGTAGTCGCCGGCCCTTTTGGATTAGTGGGAGGTTAGTTACCTTGCGACTAGTTTGATACTAGGGTGGTGGTGGATCTTCGTTCACTTTTAGCCAGATTTCGGGACGCAAACGTCGGACTTCTCAGCTCGGGAGACCGCTGGGAATGAACCCCAGTTGTATATCGTAGTCGAACACCACACCCAAGAACACATTCCAATGACAAGGAGGCGGTAAACCTTAGGGATGTTTCGTCTTATGGTGAGAAATTGTAGCGTGGCCTATTTGTTCGCTTTGACAACGGCATGATCTTCGCAACGGGTGGTTTTTGCTTTCTAAACGTCCAAAGTTTCTCCTTGGATTAAGAGAAACTTACTCAGCAGAAACTCCCACTTCCGACTTTCTATTAACCTCAGCATTGATTGAATAATTCTTTCTACTTCTTTTAAACAATACAAGAGGTGTTATTTTATTTCTTTATTTATGTACAAGCTGACGTTTCGGCAGATTTCGCCTTCCTCAGAGCCTGGAAAGGCTAAGTTGACAGCAGTTTATTCGGCCAAACGCCTCCATAACCAAGCAGAGAAAACGCTGAACCAAGATTTCAATCGCATTGAACACAGCTCTGCACACTCGCCGCTTTCTATGAGTCTTCCACTGAGTATGTCGCATGAAGACCAACCGCACAGAATTCATATGGAGGCGTAATGTGCCCCTCCCATCAGGATAACAGGTTTATAATACTGTTCAATATCGCGCATGATAATGAGGCATTCTTCCCTGCGGTTTCGCACTTCTCGCATTTGATTCATTTCTTGGCATCAGTCATCGAGGAAAATCTTCCAACTTTTCCCTGTTGTTTCGCCTGCTTGAGAATTTCCCCTTTATCATGAATATCGTTGAACAGTCGATTCTCGCTGGAGTTCTGAGATATCGGGGCTGGAGCGTTCCTATTTGGATTGCAGAGAGTGATTTTTTCCGGACAAGTCCGGTGTTAATTTTCCAACTCCAGAAGGGATAAGGGGCCTGGTGAACCTGGGGCAGGATCAACCCAACACCATGCTCGTGTTGTTCGGCATCACTAGTACTGTGCTATCCGCCCCATAAATGGCTAAATACGATCATTTGCATAAAAGAGGAATTGTACATAAGGAGAGCGACACGGGTGGTTCTGGACATCGAAGAGACGCTACTTGACAGATACTGGATTCACTGATTCCCATGATAGACTTTCTCTTAAATTCGGGATTGATCATTAAGTTACTTTCTTCTTGAGCAGGTATGAGGCTATAAATATGGTATCTATCTAAAATTGGCTATCGTTTTAGCATTTTTCATCTTCTCTTGAAAATGGACTATTGAAAAAAGTATTGTTGATCAACGACGCATCGGTTACACCAAAAATAGATTGCGGAATGTACAATTCTTTGTCAAGACGGGTCGCTAAGTATTCAGTACAGTATTCAGTATTCAGTATTAGTATTCAGTATAGTAGTATTCAGTATTCAGTATAAGTACTCTTTTCAAGGAGTAGTTAATTAAGCCTCTTTCAGTCGAAACTATCCAGTTCCAATTGCTGTATGGTTAAGTTGGTACCGTGAACAATAACTGTTCGAAAGTCGATTTTATTAATATCAAGCAGAGGCGTAAAGCCATTTCTTAGTACCTTTTTGGAAATTAAAAATGTGCTGAAATGCAATCAGCCACAATGATGCTACCAGTGATGGAAAGTTAGCTGAGAGAAAGTTGAAACGAAGGACCTGTGAAATGGGGTGGTGAGCGCGTTAGACCCCGGAAAGGGTAATGGCTTACTCGACACCATCCGCAGACGCCTGCAGTCCGGAGTTTTGCAAATATTTCAGCATTATTGTGGTTGTATTTCATATAATACCCTACTGCGAAGAACTGTAGCAGACAGTAAATAAGAAGGTTAATATTGTAATAGTTCATTTCACAAGTTCAATAAGGATTAAAATGCGAGATGTCAGGAAGTCCGCTATTACCTCACTGACAAACTAGTATTAACAGATTTTATGGCATTGATTATATACCAATATATAGAGCAGTTCTGTTAACTTAATCCAGTCGTTTAGCGTCATTGTTTTTTGTACCTCGAGTCCCCAATTGAACGAATATGTGGATACGATACACCTTTCCCCCACGTTTTCGAGCCGTTCTATCTTCCGACAAAATGGAAGCTCCTCGATGCTATTAAGAGAGCGATTAAATTTTAAGAAGAATAGCATGATGTCGGAAGTTTCACTTCATCTGTCTGTATAGAATAGATCTGGTGTCATTTTCTTTATTGCCAGTAGTAAGTTCGTTTTGCGTATTGGTATTTCATTCACCTCTTAATCGTTTTTATAAATACAACTGTTGTCCTCATTGACATTAGATTTTCTAACGGTGTCATTACATCATAAACTTGTTTTCATTCGGACGATAAGCCATGGTTTATTCTATTAAGCCAGGAACATCTTATTAACAAAAACCTTAACAGATGCCAGCATTTGTTAGATGTGTAAAGTATATTTATTACCACCAATAAGTACTGCAAATGGTTAAAATTACTCTTTACCTAACATAAATAAAGCTTGTCTTCGGTTATAGTGATCAACTTTAACAAACTCTACTACTTGTTGTAATACAATGTACAATGAAAGTCTCTTCAATCGTAATAGTTGTAAAGAGTGCCTTTGTACATGGATCAAAATGCTTAGAATAAATTGAGCCTGAACTGGATTTGCTGTTCAGATCAGTGTGCGATGTCATTACAGAAGGTGCTACTTTGAAATAAATACATAACATGAAGAGGAAAAGCGGTTGGTAAAGACATCATCAAGCGATGAGAGGAATGATGCGTACGAGAAACAGACGCCTTTACAGTGTTTTGGTATATTTATAGTAGAAGATAAGGATGATCGTTTTTATATCCACTACGCTTATAATTCTTGGACACCATCCGATCGATCCACTACTAACAATGGCGATCTCTTGCATGGAATTCCAATCTAGTTTCTCAACTAGCTATCCGCAGATTCATCCTAGTTTGAGGGTCTCGCTCGAATTTCACGCTTCTGGAGCTTCTCATTCAAGTTGTTGACGGAATGGCACTTTGTTCAGTTTATGATGAATTATACGAAGGGCCTGTACCACCTTAAAAACAATTCTCTCAGTAGAAGGGTTGATGGACAATGGGATGCCTGGGTTCCAAAGTTCTTGCACATTGTTATCACTGTGCTTTAGAGTATCTCTCAGATTTTTCAATTTGTATTAGAAATATGATTGAGTGGCGTTCTGTCAGCAGTACTGTGCACCAATAAATACTTGATGAGACTACTACACATTGGTCACTTACGTTTTCCGTGTCACGAACGATCAGTTGCATGCTGGATTTTGATGGAATTCGATATCCTAGTGTCCGCTCAACATCGTCATCTGTCTTCAGTTCGCTGCTGACAAGTATTGGACACTTTTCGTTTCCTAACATCATTATTCGACTCTGAAACTTAATGTCACAAAACAGTTGCTGAAGTGGCGAAGTCTGTTGGCTCACACAATCGGTCAAAGCCATTTTTGAGCTCATCAGTGGATACTCTGGACTAAAAATTATGAGATGTGATAGTTTTTTCAATGCTCCACAATGAAGTTAAATTACCGTGGATTAAAACTGATTTCAGCTACATTCCAGCTTAGCATTGGTATTTATCGTAGATTTGTACTGTTCGCTTCTAGAGTTGCATTCGCTGGGAAGTCTGTTAAGTAAGCCAGAGCACTGACCTCGTTTCTTAGCACGTCGCCACTATTACGCAATAAATCTGAGCGATTCTTCACCTAAAAATCGACGGAGAGCTCTCAATGGATCTCATTTAGGTGAAGTTAAGCAAGCTACCGCATCGTCACAGGCTGCTTCGAGAATGCTGTCCAAGTCACGTAACAGAGTTCGAAGTCGTTGTGGGGATACCTGAAAATAGTTGGTAACGTTGAGTAGATCGACAGATAATAAAATCTGCTTACTCCAAATTCTTTCGCTACCAGTGTAATAAGCTCTTGAACAGTTAATATTCTACCACCAAACCAGATCTCTACATCTTTAGTGCCAGTGAACCGCCTAAAGAACAATAAAGTATAAATATTGACGACACAAGAGCATATGAAAGGTAGAGAACTATCGGAAGTCTAGAAAATGAATCTAATCGAAAAACCTTCCGATATGGTGCAAGTACTGTAGATAACAGCCAAAGGTTTGGAAAAATGTCGATAAGATGATCACACCTACAAAAGTAGTTTTCATAAACGTTTCTAAATGTATACAGCTTGACCACTTCATGATAAGCAAGGATATGTCTCACCTGCTGAAAGGAACGATATAATAACCACGGAATTTGTCCAAGTATCAGGAACTGGAACAAGATCGCCATAACCAATTGTGGACACTGAGATGAAACTGAAGGAGAACGATCTATTCACTAGCAGCAAGTGTCCAGAGGGAACTCTACCATACCATCAGTTTTACAACACTAAATAGCTCTGAATGACTTGTGTAAAAGGAATCATAATCTATCGGTCAGCTACTGTATCACTTCCGTAAGGTTAATTCAGATTTGTGGCTATTTGCATTAATGAGTAGTTGAGTTAGAACTCCTGAAGCAGAATAGTTTGGCAGTCGACCTTGTCAAAGGGAACAAACAGCATTCCACATTACATTAAAATCACAGGCGCAGTGAAGTAGTACAATTAGTTAGAGTACATTTTATTATTAGTATATAAGGTGCAAATATGGGGAACCAGATGCAAGACGGTTATTTTAAGACAGGTCGCGAAAACTGGCAATACCTGACTGGCGTACCAACTACAAGCTCAAACCTGCAATATACAGCGTCGAAGAACCGCATCTGTCCCATCCATGTGCTGAAGAGAAGTCCGCCGACAACAGAATGCAGGAGGAGCAGTACAAACGATAGCCAAAGTGGAAGCCCCTCCGATGGTGTCATCTGGAACGCACATGTCGTAGACGACACATTCACTAGCAGCCGATAGGTGAGAGCGGATTTTCGATAAATGTCGACAGTTTTTTGATAGTAATATACTTGAGCAGTCTATGATTTGAGAGACATAGGAACACACTCCATTTCTATTCTTGTAAAGATATGCATTGAAATGGATGCATATAGTCAAACATGTGTTTATAAAAACGAGTCATCACCTTATTGCCAAGGCTCTTTCTGATGATCACATAGATGTCAACGACGAACTGACCATTATTTGTGAGTACCAGGAATACCAACGGAATTCCAATAACACAATACAGCAAGCAGCATAGTTTTCCCCTAACTGTGGTTGGGTGTATAGTGCCGTAGCCTGAAAGTGCAGCATAAACCACGAGGCCACCTTCTTGTACATTATTGTTCGGGTTAAGCTAGCAGTTCTTTCTCTTGAAAAGCTGTCAGCCGTATATGGGAAGATGGTTAGAATTAAAATGGTTCTAAAAATTTAAAGAATACCAAAAATCAATGTAGCTAGTTATATGAAGTGGCAAGTCTTCTATGCAAATATTCAGTTTTCCTGGACAAATTTGATTAACCTATTGTAGTAACGGTGGTGAATGAGAAAAGTAGTGCTGACGGGAACTCCTCCTTGCCGATTTCTTCATCAATATACCGTAATAGGGAGGTGCCAAGCAGAAGGTAGAAAATCAATAGCAGATTCAAGAGCACGTGAGGAGTTGAAGCGATCAGTAACTGAAGAAAATGACCTGTATATTTTAGCACAAGATTGGAGTGCCCAACTGACTAGGTAGGAATATTCTGAACAGAATTATTTATGCAAAATAACAGCATCGAAATTTCTCATGAATATAGGATTTTCAGCGAAACCACACCTCTTTGAAGAAATCTGTTTCACTGCAGCACCGATCCTGAATGAATTCCTGTTTCCATGTATGATATGGTTTCATACCTCTCCGGTGAAGTCGTCGATACTGACAAGCGAAGGTTTTCTGGAAAAAATTCGCATTTCGCTTTAGATGTGTGTCACTATGCGAACAAGTGTCTCTGCCAGTCTATGATCACCAGTTGTGTCCGAAGAGAGCAGCACTGCAGATTTCGCCCGCTTTATATTTCTTCAAACGCAGTACTGCTCAGTTATTAGGTCACATTGCAGCTTGATGAATGGTCTGCACAGTCACAGACAGAAATTTATAGACATTATAAACATACTAATATTTCGAAAAACCGAATTTCAACTAAACTATGTGTTAATGAACGATAAAAGATGACGCCTTTGACGCTGATCAACCTCTGAGAGACGTGTCATGCATCCAACTTCATCAAGCATCGATAGAGATGAATGAATGCTTACCTAGCCTATACAATGACCCATGGTGGCCTACCGGTGTATCAAGGAAGTGCTGCTATCCTCTCGAACCAGTCTATCAGCATCTCGATGATTCCGAAGTGATGGAAGGCTTGGTGAAAACGTGGAGTGAAGTCGAACCAATGACCATTGCATTGCAAGGTACCCCTAACCACTGCGATACATGTTCCTCCTTAATTAATGATGTTCAGGGCGATATGTATTTGAGGTTGCTCCAAGACGTAGAACCAGACGGCTAGTTCCGTGTAGTTACTACATCCACTTCGCGCATATTCTTCACCATTAACTCCATGAGTTGATGTCAACTCGTACTGGGACGTGTCTACTTTAATTGATTGTTTTTAGTACAATTATTAAGTGCTGCGATAAAAACTTCGTTCACACACAACTATTGTGTTTTCAGCATTTTGTAGTTGTGTTAACAACATATGGAATACGAACATAGGAGAAAGCATGAAGAAGAATATGTTGGTAATTTTTATGCCTGTCCATTCCACTCGATCCAACATAGGCATTGAAAATGAATCAGCAACTAGCTAAAATTCACTTCTTATGTCTAGCAAATAATGAACGACACTTCATTCTCAACAAATCCCGATAATTTCTTCAAGCTGTAGTGCTTACGTACTTCAGGAAAAGCCGGATAGCACAGCGATAATCATGCCATTCATTATGAGTAAGGCGCTGGTTTGACACCCCACCAAGCCACCCGAACCGCCAGTCTCCGGTGTCAGGAAATTGGTACCAGACTTGTCTTCGAACATTGCGTGTAGTCCAAGTGGGCAACGTTCTAGCCGCTTATCCCAGGACTCCAGGGATGATCGATTTAACCAGCATTCATCGTCATTCATAGAGAAGACGAAAATCGTCAAGCACCTGCCGATTCAACACGCAAATTTGGAGACCTTTCATGGATGAAGGGTTCGTTGAAATGAATCGAATGCGAGAAATGCTAGGTTCCACATCACATTTGGTATTGGGTCATGCAAAAAGTTCTTTTTATCCACGAAACGTACGAAAAATGTTTAAAAACTTTCTGTTATGGAGGAGGTTCTGCTCCATTATTCTCATGGCAAATGTAATATTTTCAAGTTATCATCTCCACTTTATGCTTTCTTCAGAACTGAGAATTCCAAACAGCTTAGAAAGAACCCAAAATCTCAAGACCTTTAGAAAAGTGTGGCAGCGGCAGACACCAGAGATACAACAGTCGTTGAACACCATCGTGTCTTATACGGCGAATTCTTGTTTGTTTCATCGTTTGGGCTATCGAAATACGAGCTTCGACAGAAAAGTCGCGTTTGGTGTGTTTCCAGAAATCGGGATTTCGCTTTGGTATAATAAGGACGCTTAGTTTCGTTCTCGAGAACCTGTATATTCTACTGATTTCCTTTCAGTAAATGTACTGTGGGATCAGACATGCCTCTTCAAAGTTGTGTGAGTGGCTTATTTTCCAAGAAGGTAAGAACGCCGGGTACCAACTGGTAAATCGTCGGCGGATGACTCATAAAAACTCATCACAACGACTGCGAACAATGGAAGAATGAATACTTTGTGTCAAAAGAACTAATTAGAATTCCAGCCAAGCCTATGCATACGATGTTCTTATGACTCAAGTTATGACAAGCGATACATTTTTTAAGCCGTCGGTTCATCTCCACCTAGCTGGTAGCAGTTAAGACAAGCTGTACGATATATGACCACTTGTCAAGCATGCTAGCGAAAATTTGCTAGGGTATCTACATAACTCGCATTAAGTTGTGTGTTGATGATTTCCTGGAGCCGCCTAGACGGAGACTTGCATTCCAACAGTACAACTCACGTAAACGACTCCTAATACAGGATAGAGGCAATGGAGACTATAATGGTTGTAAAATGAGCATAGAGAACGTTAAGTGTAGATGTTGCAGGTCGTCAAGGCTAAAAATTGTATGTAAAAAATGTAAACTATAAAAATTAAACTGTGAGATAAATTAGATTTCATCGTTTCCATCAGGAAGCCTAGCTAAAAGTAAACCAATACCAGGATCCACCACCGCTCTGATATCAAACTAGTCCCATGGTGGCAAATCTCGCTCTGATCCACAAGGGTTGCGACTGCCTGTGGTGGTGACGACCTGGGGCAGATTTTGGCCGGGCTCACCTCGGGATTCTAGAGAATCACAATGGCTTAACCAGCAAATCTCCGAAAAATGGAGATTATGCTAGGGCCCACAACCAATGAGGACGGGACGTTCAAGTATCAAGTATCAGGTAAGAGATAAAAGAGAACGAGGTCTGTAGCATCAATACAATGTTGTGAAAATAAGAGTTTGAAGACGATCGCCTAGCTTTTTTGATCGCATGAAAGCAATTTTGTGAGCATGCGCTCAAAGAACAGAGGCCTTGAAGTAGGTAACGGAGCGGAAACGTCAGCCACAGTAGAGTTTTCTTAACAATCTCAAGATAGCCTAATAGAGCGAGTAACAGACTACTACATGAGACAGAGGATCAACTTCTGTTCAACCTTGACGCTACTAACACACTTATATGATCTTAGCAACTCCCACTTTTGAGTTGAAGCAAAGTTGTCAAAACGTGCCTTCGATTTTCGATGGCTAACACCACGGCTTCACCTTCTCAAGGCGTAGATGTATTGTTATACAACTTCATCCTTATTATCTGGTGAATATTCTAGTCTTAATGAAAAATCAGTATGCAAATAGAACCAAAATCGGTTTAAGAGCACTCACTGTTTTCGTTTTCTAAGCAGTAAGAATACCGGATGCTGTTCAAATACTAGGATAAATGAACTCCACTCAATTCGGATTTTTCACTGATAGGCTAATACGAGGCTGGTTAAAAAAAGAAACAAATAAATAAAGAAATAAGTAAGTAGAACAAGAATAATGGCATGACAATGCAATGTAAGATACACGAAACAATAATAATAAAAAATAGAGCGTGTGTGGCGCAGTGGTCGGAGACGCCCTGCAATATACATGAGACCGATCCCTCTGCTCAAGACTCACCAAGCCTTCCATCCTTCCACGGTCGGCAAATTGGTACTAGACCTGCCTAGTAGGATAGCAGCTCTGGCGGAATGCTTCGGAATGCCAACGCGAGTCATTGTAAAAGCGTGATATGCATTCAATCACCTCCAAACGATGCTTAACGAAGTCCAATGCATGGCGTATCCCTCAGAGATTGATCGACGCCAAGAGCTTCATCTTTTTTTTACCCTTCCACAACCCAACAACCTGAGCAGATGATTCCAAAATGAACTAAATATGACTCATCACGCAACATATCAAAAATTACATTATAAATGGTCGTTGGGAATGTGTGACACTCTTCACGATGGAGAATTTAAGGAACGAAGAATGTGACGTAATGATTGTGAATGGAAAACGAGAGATGAGAATCGAAGACTGCAACTTCACTAAAGAGTGGTGTGCTGACGAAAAAGAGAATTCACAATAGAATCGACCGAATTGCTGTCGAAAGAATCGAACGGTCAAGTTTCACCTTTTTCGGTGTCGTGTTCCTCATCTTCGTGCTCGTTTTTCTCCCTTTCTTCATCGTTTTCCCACATAACATCGAAATGTAACGCTGATAGTTGAAGTTCCTGGCAGTAAATGGCTATGGGCATCTAGTAAGAGAGGTCAAAATCATCTGGAATTGAGAACTGAAATTGTGTTCGGTTACGATTGGCAACGGCATTGAAAAGTAATCGATAAATGCAAACCATTTGAACAAAACACTGAACAAAACTACGATGGAGACAGAATCATAAGCGATAGGATGGTGGACTTGTACTGTAACGAACAATGGACAAATATGAAGAGAAAAGTCATTGAAAAAAAGAAGAGCGTGTAGCAAAGTGGTTAGAGGGCGCCCTGCAACGCACACGTGGTCGTAGTGGCTCGATCCCGCGCCTTGAATTCGCCGAGTCATCCATCCCTCCGAGGTCTATTAATTGGTACTGGACCTATCTCGATGAATAGCAGCACTAACTAGATACATTAGTAGGCCAACACTACAATGTATTGGCCATATTTGCATTCAATCACCTTTACGATCCTTGATCAAGTCGAGTGAATGGAGCATTCCTCAGGGATTGATCAATGCCGAACGCTTTATTCTTCTTATCCCTTGTCGAAAAAAGGGTCAACAACTGAGAATGCATTGCACAGTTCCTTTATTCAGTTCGTCATTAGAAAAACAACTAGAGGCAATTGCATGCTGTCCGATTGCTGAATGCACCTACCTCACTGGAGAACCGTAGCTTAAACTGTAAAGTTCAATGCAGATGTAGAATTTTAGCACAAAAGCGAATATGAGCAACAGATAAAAAGAAAAGAGGATGGTGGTGGAATGCAAGGAAAAGCAGAAGGAAGCTAGAAGAGAATGAAATAATTCAACCAAGAAACCAAATATTCTTGGTTTCGTGAAGAGCCACAAAGACGTCGTAGCCCTCGTTATACAGGACTCATTTCCAGAGCACACTTCTTAGTGAGTGTCAAGTTCTTGCATTGGAACCTACTTTTTCGACTCTAGTTAGCGATTGCGTGATTTCCTTTTTCAGGCCCTAAAAGGTGTTGTTGAGACATTCTGTTCACACCATAGTAATCTAAAAGACAAGACTCCGACAACATAAGTAGAAATTACATGAAGTAGAGTACCAGCTTGTACAGTAGTTGGGCTTACCATAATAAGCGCAACCATTGTCAGTGACCCACGTGGAATGACCAGCGATGATTCCCTCCCACAGGACAGAAATCGCTTTGAAGGAACTGAATAAAGCAGATCTGACAGCATGGCATTTAGTTCTATAGCTTGGGAAAGGCTTCATTATCTCGCCATTGATCACAAATACCCCTCCAATTGCCTTGATCGCACCCTTTGTCTTCCTTTACTAGTTCAAATGAACTGTGATGTCGTAGCTGGGCTCCGACACGTATCGAAAGAGATGGTCTGTCATGAGTTCTTTCTGCCATTCTCTCAATGCTTTTTCTACGCATACTAAGTGTCGTGTGTTCGTCATCGCATTAATCATGTATATGGTGCCCGAATCGGGAAGTTTCCATCATTGTCAATGGAGTGAACTGATTGCTATTGTATTGTATAGATGGCTGTGTAACGGTTACGAGTGAATCTTAGACATGTTGTCATCAATAACTCGATGATTGCCGCTGATCTTTACCAAGATGTTTTCTTCTGGCACTAATGAATGATTCCTTCATCAGAATTGGAAAGTGAATTATGCGAAATCATAAAATGAATTGGTCGTAACAATGTTGGCGCAAAACTGGGCAAACTGGCTGGCAAATTGTACTTACAATATGTGCAAGCTGAAGCCAGATGCTCCCACTTGCGATTTCATGGTGTAGACTAAGAAGACAAAATGTCAAGTCATCGGACTGATAGGGACGAGAAGACACTGCTAACTAAGTGACTTCGTGTTATTGGAGAAGAAATGCTGTTCTATATATGACGAGAGAATATAGCGGAATTAGCATAATCCTTATCAACACGAACTAAGTGGTGAAGATGGATCCTTCCAGAGGTAACGATTCGAATCCAACGTTTAGGGCCTGAAGGATCTGGGGTAATGTCCCGTTTAATAGCCTTAACAACGCGTTTTGACATGAAGCTACGACGAGGACGCGATCAAAATATTTTTCAAGAGACTAGAAACGTTCTCCAGGGAAGATCACAGCTCCTATGAGGTCATAATGGCAACTTGAACGCCAAGAATATCTGAAGAGAAGCGTACCACTTATTTCACTTGTCCTCTCCCTGATCATCAAGTGATTGAAATGAGCGCCAGTAAGGTAGGCGTTTGATTTTCGATAGTTCGGCTAACAGTGGATCTCTGATATCTAATGGTTGACGCATGTAGGAATTTCAAATTCCCACCTCCAGTCTCATGAGGTGAGGTACTCTCCCAGTACCGCCCCGTCGCCAATTTCCAGCTTCGACTTCAATAGTCCACAAAGATTATCCTGCTCACGTAGGGTACGATGTAGCAGGAATGATTGCAGGTCAAAATGAGGGGCACAGTGACGGTCATTCGTTGCCCTCCTCACCACATGATCGATGCTGTTGAAAGCTCCTCAAGTAACCTGTTTTCCCTTGTTCTACACGAAAATACGAAAGCCGACTGTGTCTCATTTTGAACATTAAACAGACTTCGAAAAGGACTTTCGGCTCAGTTGATATAGGACCGCTTTTGGAGGATCTAGACAAGCAAATCCTCCGGCTCACTGCACTTTTACAACCAGAATTTCAGTGTTTCACAATATGCCATTACCATCGGCATGAAGAGAATAGTACAAAGAAGCAAAAACATTTCACCGAGAAGAATGAGTACCACTTTCGCAGATGAAAAAAGCCATTAAAAACAAACGACATATCTCACTTCAAGGCGAATTGCATTAGTTGGAATAGGAACCACTAAGATCTACAACTCTTAGCAAAGAACAGGCAAGTATTTCTAATTCCACAACAACGAAATTTTGATTTTTTATAGAGCATGAATCATTCTTTCTTCACATTCCACTGTCAAGCATTGTATCACAAAGATCAAAGACTGGGCTTGCAAAAATTACTCTAGGAGGATGTACTAATGCTCCCGAAGGCGTAGGCGAGCTTGCTGTAGCTGGCTAGGCATTCAAAATTCCAAAACTCTGACATTTCAGTTTTTCTCCTAATAATTTAATATCCCCTTCAACGGTTTATCGCCTCACTGTGGCCGAAAGGTGTTCCTGGATGTCGAGCTGCGATGTACAGTGGGAGAATTCGTCCCTCTGGCAGGGTCTCCCAAACTGAGAAAGAATCCGGGGTTTCCACTGGGAAACCCGGCTAAGACTAAACCAATACCAGGAACCACCACCGTGCTGGCAACTAGTCCCATGGTGGCAAATCTCCTGGTCCAAAAGGGCGACGACTGCTTGTGGTGGTGACGACCTGGAGCAGACTTTGGGACTTGGCCCGGCAAATAGCCATCTCCAATGGCTACGAAATAGTAACCCCACGAGATAAGTTTACAAGGAGAACGACGCGTCCACGCGAAACACTTGGCCAAAACAAAATCCCGTTTATGTTGCCTTTTATAAGCGATGAAGTAAGCGCAGCTATAAAACGATGCTTAAGAAGGGCAGGTCTAGAGGAATCGGTAGCGATAGTTGAAATACCACCGACTACTCTACGTCGCCAATTAGTTCGTAACCGCCTGTATGACCGTCTGTGTGAAATAACAAATTGCGTAATTTGCCCTTACGGCAGGGACGGTGATTGCATGAGTTCAGGTACGGTATACCTGATCTCGTGTAACAATTGCGGAGATGAATATATTGGCGAAACGGGCAGACCTTTGTGTATCCGTATAAAAGAACACCTAGATGGCAAGCGAAAACTAAGACGAAGCACCCCACTAGGCACGCATAGGATACAAAAGCATAGCGGAGACGATTTTGAAGTAAAAGTCAATATCCTTGCACAGGAGTCCAAAACACCAGCGCGAAAACTCCTAGAGGCTTTTTGGATCAATGCCAAAAACCCTACAATGAATAGCAGGGACGAATGCCCGGAGGTCATACGCGACCTGATCCCGTACGTTCGCATCGATTTTTGATGTGGGATGGTGCAGTCGTCAACCACATGCGACTATCATCAGCTGTTCTAAACTTCCTCATTGGAAGTCACGAAAAAGCGGTGGGTTTTTCGAGAAGTTGTTGATCGTGTAATTACCAAAGAGTCTTTCGTCTTTGTGTAAGTGTTATTGAAGCGTTTGGCCTAGTAGATTGTATATCAGTATACCCTTCCAGGCTCTGAAGAAGGCGATACTGTCGAAACGTCAGCTAGCGTTGTATTGTATTGTGTTTTTATGGAAGTAAATGTATGCTGTTTAAAAATCTCGCGATTGCTGAACAGGAAAACGACACATTCTCTTGAGTGAATTTTATTTACTCTGACTGTTTGCTTCTCGCTTGTGTTCTCGATTCTTGCGCGAGGATCGTAACCCTTACTTCAAAATCTTCTCCGTTATGATTTTGCTTGCTATGCGTACCTAGTGGAGTACTTGGCTTACGTTTGCCGACTAGGTGTTCTTTTATACGTACTCAGAGTGGTCTACCCGTTTCGCCAACGTATTTGTCCCCGCACGCTTTACAAGAGATCAGATAGACTGTACCCGAACTCATGCAGTCACCATCTCTACCATTGGGACAAATTATGCAATTTTGCGTTGCACATAGACGATCGTATAGGCGGTTACGAACTAACTGGCGCCTTAGATTACTCGGTGGTATTTCGATTATCGTTACGGAATTCTCTAGACTGGCCCTTCTTAAACAACGTTTTATAGCTGCACTTACTTCATTTGAAATGAAAGGCAGTATAAACGGCACCTTATTGTCGCTAGAGTTATCGTTGGGGTACCTGTGGTTTCCTCTACACCTATCTCGAGCTACGGTTTCGTAGCCATTAAAAATGGCTATTTGCCGCGCCAAGTTCCGGGACTCCTCTGTTGTCTTCCTGTGCACACGCTGGTAGCTGTTCGATACATGTTCCTCATAAGCGCCCTTTCCGTGTGAGAGGGATGAGATGAGAGGTAATGAACTAGGATGTTTTTACTACTTGGCTTTC